TTTAACACTGTCACGCATCGTTTCGTGTGGGCTTCTGTGTGTTGGCAACCTTTTGGCCAGAGCCCAAAGGTAAGGCTAATCACTGAGGGTTGGGGCATTCAGCCAACGACTAAGCCATGGAACGCATGGAATACATCCGCCTCCATCCAATTGTTACAATTAAACTAATGAAAACCACATCAGAGCTACGGTGTTTCATACCCAGTTCGCTAGCGAGTGAGACGAAATTTGCAGCCATTTGATTGTTTGCTGACGGTTTTAGTCTTTTGCCAATTAAAATAAATTATTATACAATTTTGTTTGCAAATGGCAATGCCCGTCAAGGAACTCTACACAATTACGCGCAGATTTGCAACGCTTTTAGCCAACAACAACTACAACAATAAGTGCTCAACAATTTTCCAAGGCACCAGCGTCACCATGTCCCTGGAGAGACAAAATGTGAAATGGAAAATATAATGAAATGCTTTCAGCCATCGATGGGACTTGACAGACAGACAATCAGACAGTTTGCCAGACATACTGTCGATTGTCTGCTGTTTTCTTATTGGACTGCACTTGCCTTTCATTTTGTCGTCTATATATATATATATAGATTTTTTTGTTCCCATTATAAACATTTTTTTACACATTGCGTTGTAGACATGGTGAGTGGAACGACTACCATTTTTGTAGGATTAAAAGTTAAATAGCTCTTCGAGACACCCTGAGGAGTTTCAAATAGAAGACAATGGCCCAGACATTGGCAGCGTGATTTGAATGCCAACAACACAAAAACATTGACCTGGCAAATTTTAAAAAACCTCGTTAGCCAAAGGTCAAGTGAAATTTTGTATTAAGTGTGTTGAGGTGTTCAGTTAAAGAGAAAATAGCAGAAACATGTGTAAAACAGCAGGTTTTTCAACCTACAGCAGAAAACACAAAAATATATATGTATTTACATAAAAGCCTTAGGTGTCTATTCAGAAATGCGGTATTCAAAAATAAACTCCTCGTTAGTAGCTGCAAGAGTCTAATAAGTGGCGCGTGTAAGAAATTTGTTTTTATTTCTGTTATGTTGTTGATATTCTTTTGCATTTTTCGAGAATATTTAAGCAGTTCCACGTAAAAATTAATTGAAAGAAAAAACAATTCTGATCATTCTCTCATGTTTGTTTGGCTATGCAGATATAAGCATATCTCTAATGTGTATGTGGTATTAAGTGCCGTTTATCTTTCCCATTTTGGGAGCCCCCAATTGTCTGACACAGGATATCAACTGTCTGTCTCGCTGTCTCCCTGTCTCTCTGAGTGGCTGCCATTGTCTGACGTCTAGTTGGGGTATTCATTGGCTCGACTAAAGCATGCTGTAAATGACAGCAATGACTTTCTGGCCAAACTCCACGTTGGCAATCTCCCTGCGGTTGCGATTGCATTTGGAAATCCGTATACGGGTTTTCATTGCCCCTCATCGTGTCTCGCCGGTAGCTTTAATTGGATAATGCGATGAGAGCTGAGTGGCAGCTAATTGAGCTTGGCGGCAGCTGGCTTTTGACTTTACGCTTCTTGGCCCTGTCATTAGTGCCACTGACAATTGAAGCAACATTTGCAACATTCGAGTTGGTTATCGAGCGTATCTGCTTGCCAAATCACATTTATGAATAAAACAGCGCATTTTTAAAGCTGCAATCCGCTGTCAGCGTTGGCCAAAACTCTGGCAAGTGGCAAAAACTTTTACAGCGATAAGCGTCAAGTTGCACTAACTTCCACTATGCTACGTGCTGCCCCTTGGCTGCTATCCTCCTCTCCACTCAAAAGTGTGCAACAGAATTTTTTTATATTTTTTTTCCCTTTTGTTAACTTCCGTATTTGAGCCAACTTGTTACTCAACTAGTGCTTACAAGAATATGAGTCGACGTCATTGTCGTCGCCATGACGCTGCCTCAAAGTGTTGTTGTTGCTACTGGCTTATGCTTTTGCATCTGTTCTTGTCGTCATATCAGTTTTCGTCTGAATAGACACGTTATCTATACACAATATGGCTTTAAGTGAGCCTGCTAGCCACGCTAAGGTGTCAGTATCCCGTGCCCCAAACTATTGCCCGTTAGTTGAGAGCTGGGAGCAAGGAGCTGGGAACTTGGTGCTGTGCCCAGGTTGCATGTTATGAATGATATGCTCAGTCGCAACTCGTTAGATGGGTTTGAGTGTATGTGAGTGTGGTATGCATTGTGGTTCAGTTCTTTTGTACTTTCTTGCTCAGACGTGCATTGTGTCGACACTGCTCGCTCGTCTGTGCCTTCTTCTCACCTGCTCATACCTCGTTTTTTTGCCATTTGAACTTACACAACTTTTGCTGGTTCGCCTTTTGCCATAGCAATTATCAAGCTGAAAGTTTATAAACTCTTGCGGCTGCTCGTTAGCCACATTTGTTTTATGTTCGTGCAACATATTCACATGTGCAAATTCATCGGGTAACGTAAATCTAAATTAAAGCACTTAACACCTGCATAACGCAATTTAATTGAAAGTGCAGCAAGCAAGCCTTCAACGAGTCGATAGAACTTGATCGTAGCCACTAATATTTCTACTGCTACCAGTATAATACCATTTATCATTGCCAAATATAAAATAGCAGTTGGAACAGCAACGAGAACAGCAACCGCAACTCAAAGGTCTATAAATTTGATTTCGAATATATATTTAACAGCAGCAGTGCAAGCTCAGAGCTCAAGTTTCAACATAGTATACATAAATAATTCATGCTTGATAAATTAAACAATATACTGGAGAATCCATTAGTTATACATAACGTATACGCCATGTGCGCTAGACTATAACACCCACACAGTAACATAGCAGCAAGAACAGCAACAAGCGACAATTGCAACGCCTGCAAATGGCCAAAAACCGGAAACGGAAGCGTGCATAGTGCATGCCATTTGCACAAATGTGACAGTGCAGGACAAAGCGACATGGGACAAGGATGCAAGGCAAGCATGCAGCAGCTGTAAGTTCTGACTGTCTCTCCAAATGCCAATATACATATATATATATAAATATATATATAAATAAATATACAGATAAATATATTGCCTATAAAAAAAAAGGAATTCAAAGAGCTTAACAAAAATACTTTTCAGCATTTTATTAATTGTATTCGATAAAAATTTAAACTAAGCAATATATATTCCATCAAATATTAAATAAATTAGCGGGAAATGTTATACATTTTTCCAAGTTACATTATTCTACTATAATAATGTCAGTTCTAAATTAAATTAGTCATTGGTCAATAGAGTTTAAGCATTATGTGATTTAATTACACTCCTCTCTGCCATTCAATAGTTGCACAGATATCACAGACAATGGCCCATCATTAGAGGTACCTCAGTTTACCGTCCCTGGCGGTCGCTTGCCGGAATGCAAACACAACTGTAATTATGTAATGAATAGAGGCCACATTTACCGTTGTAGCTATGGCATTGGCCAACGTCCGTCCGCCCGCCCATCCGTCCGTCAGTCTGTCGGCTATGTGCAAACTGGCGACAGATGTTTTAATTGAAATGAAAATATATACAGTTGAGAAGACAGAATAGTGCATAATTCCACATGTTTTAGAATGTGGCAAGATGGCGAATGGTGTATTTGTTGTAAATTTCCGCATCTCTCCCTCATCAGCCACAAGTAGCAGCGTTAACTGTAATTACGCATACGTCACGTTGCCAAACTGCATCTTGTTGGCCCATGCCTGTCAAAGCTACTGTAACTTTGCACTTAAAAGTTGGCAAACATACGAGTAACGGAAGCGAATTCCCGCACATACCCCAAGTGAACCTCTGCACCACACCTGGCAAATAATTTGCAGGCGCTTTGTTGTGCAACCGGCGGAAGATTTTAATGACTACTGCTGCAACTGCTTTGGCTGCCTCTGATGAACTGATTGCAGCACCTGAGCATAAATCTGCAATTACTGATTCTTTTTCGCATGGACTGCATAAATATGAAAGTTTTGCTCAATTTCGGTATTTAGAAATCAGAAATTGCTTGCTTCATATGAATATGGCAAATGTACATGATGATTCATGTAGGAATTTGAGTGAGTAAAATTCGCACGGCCCTTGAATAATCTAGAAATACTCAAATTTATTACGCTTAATATTAAATCCATCAGGCTTGCGTCAATTTAATTCGTATTTGGATGTGGAGTCTTAAGGTCCGATAGCTTCATGGAATTTAAAAGTCGTCAATCAGAGGCGAAGAGCAAAGTCAACAGACACGGTAAAGCTCTCATTTATAATGCCTTTTGGATGTGGCTGTGAATGGCATTTAATCTGCAATAAGACCCACTCACAGGCTGTACCATCCTGCAGTCTGCACGTAGCACTGTACGCCTCAAAAACGATTTTATGGTTTTTCTTAATTAATGATAAATATCGTTCAGGGAGCACATGAAATTGCAGTCAACCCAGCAAGATGCTGATGCTTGCAGCAAATTGATTGAGTTGCCACAGAGCAATCATATTTAAATGCCGAGTTATGTAAAAAGTCTTTCATCATTTGTTAGCTGCAACAACCAACCGAAAGGATAATCGTCTAATTACATACCTGCGTCAGTCAGAAACTGCTTAATTAAAAGTAAGTGTACTTTATTTATCAAACGATTGCCGTTTTCAAGTAACGAATATATGAATTACTTATGCTGAACTTTTTGACTAAAGTTCAATGAAATAGTTAATGAATTAAATCAGCGCAGTTAAACTAAAATTTCACTCTATTTTCTATCAAAGTTCCTTCAAGAGCTTAGATTAACTTAACTGGCCGATGAATTTATTACTTCAGCTGGTAAAAACTTTCTTGTTGTTATTTCTTGCAGGAACTTTGATTTTGCTTTTACCAGTTGGCTCATGAATTGTTTCTATATTTACACTTGAACAGTAAGGAGAGCGAGGCGAAGGGATTTTTGGGCTTGAGCTAAGCAAATTCTTAAAGACGAAGTTGATGTGCAACCTGAAGCCATTGTTTAGGGATTGGAATTTATTGAAGTTTGTTCACAGACACAAAAACAAATCAAACCTATACCAAGGATATTACAAGGATTGCATGTATAACCATAGGAAAAACATTACAAAAACAGAGCCGACCTGCAGCCCCAGCAAGAAGCTGATCACTTTCGACAGCTTTGGAAAATCACTATTCATACGCTTCAGGGTTAACAATATACTCCGCTTTCCGCCCTCAAAATAGGCGACATCTTCAAAGGATCTCACCTCAAACCAATTCGGAAACCCGCCGGGAGACAGATAGATACCAGATGGGCGTGGCACATTGCCAGGTTGGGCGATCACGTTGCCATCGGCTGGCTCTGGATTGGGGCCATCACAAAACACCGGCATGATGTCCTCGTGCAGGATCAGGCGATCCATGCAGCGTGGACACTGCGTCATCAAATGACTGTGAATTTTCGCCCACAGGCAGGTCCAGCAGAACAAATGGCCACAGATCGTTATGACCCCGCCCTGGATATAGCCATGGCACAAGTTGCACTTAAACCGAGACAGCAGATATTGGACTCGACGCCGAACTGCTATTTTATGCAATAAGCTATTCAGATTGTCACCTACAGTTGGATTTCAGTCAATAGAATTGGTTTTCCCTTGTCGACCACTCAACTTACTTGCATTTGCTGTCGCAACATAAATTTTAATACATATTCTTAATGTGTTTTCCATGTTGCATTCAGTTCGCGTCAACTGACAGCGCCACGGGTAAAGAAATTATATTTGAAAGTAAATTATTAACTACTAAGATTAATTTTTACTCTAGAAGTAAACGAGAAAATCTGGAGACGAGAGTCAGCAACAATTGTTAAATATCGATTATTTATATCGGTAGCTGCCACATTCACAACGCCTGTCACTGATTGGCAGCTGCTTGATTGATGCATGCCACATGTTACACTAAATTCAACTCCATTGCAAGGCAAAAAAAAACCTTGGCTTGATGCCAGCGGCAATTAGACGCGAGCTTTTACTGCCTGCTGCCCGTTTTACAGTTTCGGCCGGCTCATAAATAGCATCCTACGTTAGGGCACTTGACAGTCGCCGTCGGAGTCCGCCAAAACTGGCAGACAAACAAAAAGTCTGAGGCAACAAAACGGACTCGACACTCTCTGACATATGGCTGCATAATTTATGCGTACAATGAACCAGTGCAATGCGTCCGCTGTGGCAAATGCCACAGATTCATTTTGCATTCTCATCTGTCGCTGTCGTTGTCGCTGTAGCTGTATTTGATCTTTTGCATTGCAACTCAAATTTACACGATGCGATTGTCAATTGTGTGTGTGTGTGTGTGTGTATGTGTGTGTGTGTGTGTGTGTATGTGTGTGCGTGTCTGCACATTGAATTGTCGTGGTTGTCGCATTGTCAAATCGTTAACATTGATGATCCATGGCGCCTTTCCCAATTGACCCATATCGTTATACATATTTAAAATACAAATTTTAACAGCAAATTAAGTCAAGAGATAAAATTAAAGTAAGAAATAACACTGACAATCCATGGTACAGCTCCCAATTGACCCATATTAATAAATGAAAAAAATACAATACAATCAATACAATAAAAATATATTTACCAGCTTTAACAGCAAATAAAATGAAGCCTTAAAAAAAGTGTTTCTGCGAGTCGTTTTCAATTCAATTGCAATTGTTTTCAATAACTTAATATAGGCATATACATAAATAAAGTATATGTATATTTTCTATCAGAGATTTCATTTAATAATTTGATAATATTTAATAATATTTATTGCATAATTACATATTTAAATTATTGTTTATATTGCTTAAACTATTTTTGTGACTTTGATACGTCGTTTTATTTTTTTTCGGAAGAAGTATATATTTAAAAAGACAGCCTTTTACATATTATTTGATTTAAAAATATATTCATAATTGTATTTTTGAATAAAATAAAAACAAGCACAATTTGGTATATATAAAAAAAAGTATAATGATATATTATTATAATAATGTGTTAATGTGCGGAGCATAATAAAAAATGTTATCAATTCAGAGGTCATTCTTTCATTGCCATTTTATTAATGTTGCCTGCTGTGATATTCACTCTGACCAGGTGGATGGACTCAACTTCAAGAGTTGCGTGAGTGTCGACTGACTAGTTTTTATTGGCCTCATTTAACATTTGATGGCTCCACATACACAGTGGTTCGTTTTGTGGCTGTGGATCATTTTAGTGGTGCAGACGATGCCAGTCTAAAGCTCGGTATTTGCATACAAATAGCACTTGACTCATAATACACTGCGTATACACAATAAAAGTGTTGAGCACTAAGCCAGAGAGCAAAAAGAACAATAACAATAACAAGGACAACCGCATGGGCCAGTCATTAAATGCAACAATAAATTCGGAGTCCATGAGCCTTCATTGGACTCCAATGCCAGATCCGAATCGAGTGTCATGGCATGCCCGAAATTTAATTAGTTGGCATTTAACATTAAACATTTTGCAGCTGATGTTTTTGTTGCTGCTGTTGCTCATTTCCAATTCACTGACACTACGCATTTTTGCTTCTTTCCGTTGTTTGTTTTATTTTGTATTTTTTTATTTTTCAGTTAATTAAACGCACGCAAGCATTTCGTCGTTCTAAATTATACGCAATTAAATTTGAAATTACTTTCGAGTGAGTTTCCAGTGTTGCTTCTGGCAACGGCGCGGCAATAACTTAACTGGAAATTTTACTGTAAGCCCCGCTGCTGCCAAATGTCACTTTTGATGGCCGACTCCCATCCCTTAGCCTGCTGTAATTGGTCAACGCCTAACACCCCTGCCTGCTGCCTATCTGTAACTAACTTGAATTTAACTTTTCCGCATGGCAAGTTTCGGGGCTGTCTTTAAGTTGTTGTTCTATTGCTTAACTTTGTTTGTCTGGCTCTGTAAATTGCACTGTCTGCCTGCTTCATTATGCAAAACACAAAATACGAAACACAATATGCAAGAAACAGCCACACACACACACACACACACACATACACATAGGCAAGCACACTCATATGTGCATCATCTGCAAAGTTGCAGCAGACGGCTGGGGAATGACATCACGGTGACTTCCAGACTCTTGAGCTGCCTCACCTGACTTACCTGACTTACCTGGTGCACCGAGTGCCTGTCATATATTTTACTTGTTCTTTTATCACCTAAGAAAAAGAGAAGCACAGGTGCAGTCTGGGTGTCATTGTCTGCGCCACGAGTGTAATGTTTATATTATTATTATTATTACAAAAAATGCTTGCAACTGCCTGAAGAGGCAAATTTAATCCGCAATCCCGCTAGCTGACTGGGAAAAATGACAGAAAAAAAACTTTAATATTATTTTTAATAATAAAATATTAAAAAAAATAATGTTACGGCTCCGCCGTCTGCTCGGGCAGACAGCTTTCTCTTCGTAATTGCAGTCATAGCGACAACTATAAAGGCGACTGTCAGAAGCAGAATAGTTAGCAGCACTGCACCAATCGCCACAAAGTTGCATATCCAGCCGAAGGGGCTAAAGAGATCTGCCATTTTTATGGCTTCATTCAATGGGCAGAAAAATTGCCTTCTAATGAGCAAAATGAAGGATACAAGGTTGGCCAATATCATGATCATCAGCATTGCCAAAAGCTGGAGTGGACTCGAAACATTTTGATTACCATTTAAATTTAAAAAGTACAAAACAGGGTATACTTAGTATACAGTTAACCCACCACATAGCGCATGTGCTGCCTGGGCTCCGAGTAGTTCGAATGATAGACCCAAGTGCTCGCGGCATACAGGATGCAAATGTAGGCAGTGCCGATGCTGACCGATTGCTGAGTCAACTGCACATAGCACGAAGTGGTGGGCATAGTATTGCCAAACACCGATGCATTCAGTACGCAAATTAGCTGTCAATGGTATTGCTTAGGACTGACTATTGAGTTTTAACTGGCAGCTTATACGTACCGCTGTTGAAAAGAGTAAAACAGCTAAACTTTCTTTCTTGGATAGAAAGTGAAACATATTGGCGAAGTAACTAAAAACAAAAAGAAATAAAGCTATGGATTTAAAACACACAATTTAAATGAGCTAAAATACAAAGCAATGAGTCTAAAAATTAAAAATGTGAATAAATATCAACACGAATGTCAATCTTGAAAAGCGATATATTTGATAATATTATACATATAAAATCGTGATTACATAAGCATTTCTGGAACGGGAGCCAAAGTAGAAATTAGCGAAGCAGCTCTTGCTATATATGAGGAACATTTGTATTTATATTTACCAAGCCGGATAATGCATCAAATGTTTTGAATATTTCTCAACTTTGCTTTGAAAGCTAAAGTTGTTTCCATTCAACTACATATTTATTTTTAACTATGATTATAGTGTCTTTATTGTTTTCCTTTATGCCACAAATTCTATTCATACTGTGACTACTTCCCTGACTGTTCCATAAAACTTCAATGCTAACTGATTCTCCAACCAGACTAGGTTGCAAATTGAAATTTCTTTTATAAGCACGACGGCATTCGATTGGGCATTGATGGCACTTATCTAACAGGCGCAGCCACTGGCTGCAAACTCAGCCTCATCCACATCAGGAAAGAAACCGGCAGCCAGCGCTAATTCATCAACAGTAAAGGCAATTTAGATACTCATCTAACCGGATATCGACAGGCAGTCAGGCAGTGAGGCAGCCAGAAAGACAGAGCGAGAGAGCGAGAGAGAGAGAGGGAGGAGGGAGAGGCAGAGAGACAGAGAGATACGCATACCCTTAGTCTAGTCCCAGTGCTTGTACTGGCTTGCGGCTCATCAGCCGCAGAGAGACGCGTTTGCTGCTCGTCCTGCAGACAGAGTTTTATAAAATATTGATAGACGTGAAGTTGGCAGCGCATATTCGCTTCCTGTTCGTGTCTGCCGCAGCCATAAATAATTTGCTGTAAATGCAATCGTGGGGTTATATGGCGCGTAACCAGCAGCCTGGACAAGGTACTGAATGCTGTGGCGGGGATGGCGACGAGGAGGAGTTAAGTAAAGGAGGAGGAGGCGTCTGTGATGCTAATGGCAAGCACTGCACACGGTGCGAAAGTGTTTTATATGAATTATTTGCTGCGAGCCAATTTGGAGCCACGTTTACGAGCACAATTGAAACTGAATACCGTTGCCATATATATATATATATATATATATATGCATGTATACTGTGTATATATAGACCCATTGAACGGCATCAGAAATCGCTTCGGCTGGCATCGGGCATCCTCTTTGGCCGCCTGTCGAAATGCCGTAATTTGTTATGCCTCTAACAGTTCTCCCTATCTCTCGTTCTCTCTCCCTCACTCTCGCTGCCTGCCTGTATGTATCGTCCCTGGCGCTTTTTAATAGCCACTCGCTCACTTGACTCACCGACTGTTGCTGCTTATTATTGCTGTTATTGTATCGTTGCTGGCCGTTGCCTTTATCATTACTTTCCCTGCCATGCCCTGCCCTGCCCTGCCCAGCCCAGCCCTGCCATGTACCGCTCTTCCTGCTGCTGCCGTGCTGCATGGTAATGTGTATTTAATGACGCCATATCATGTACAAGCTGGAGAATATAGTGCTCCCCAGTACGACAGGGCGCTCGTCTGGGCGCCCGCTGTCGCCAATTGCCTCGCACCGCTGCCGTTACCAAAAGCATCACCAAAAGCCATAGCCTAATGTCCAGCTGCCACCCCCGAGGTCACGATTGCGTCCAACTGGTGCTGGTGCCAATAAAGCAGCCGACTGCGCCTGTTGGTGCACATTTCATAAAGCATTCTTCTATCTTTCTTCATTCTTTTTTTTTAATATATTTTAAAGTGGCGCCATAAAAACCCACCCGTAATTGATGTGAAAAGAAATAGATTTACCTGCCATAGACTGACAGCAGCTCTAGATAACGTTATTGAGGTTATAATGAAGCTAATAGCCAAAGCTCCTCCCCTACAATTGTGGTCGTATTTAACAAATATAATTGCAACTCATTACAATCGTATCTGTCAGCCGCAGTCGGGATAAATTGCTAAAATGCATGTTAAGCTAGCAATATTAAATTTTACTTTCTATTAAATTCAGAAAGCACTCGGCCCCGCAACAATAATCCTCGCTGCAGCAGCATTCGCATCAGCGTCAACTTCCGCACAATTATACAACACTTTTAACACAACAATCATTTTTAATGGACATCAGCAGTGGAGAGAGTGGGTGTTTGGCTTATTGGTGGTTTGCACCACATAAAATAGTAGCTGGTTGCACGCCTGATTGCCTCTGGGGCTGGCTTCCTCTTTGACTTTGGCCTCGATTGAAACAATCTCCGGTGTGTGTTTGTGTGTGTGTGTGTATGCGTGATTGGGTGTGAGGGTAAAAGCTTTACACACTTCACAACAAATACAAAACTGTGGAAAAAAATGATTTTCACTTAAATTTTGCCAGTGCCTCTTATATGCTGGTCTCTGGTCCGCCAGCTGCAACTATCAGCTCGATAATTTATAATGAAGTTTCGTCAGTGGCAGTGGCAGGCAAAGAGAATGTGGAAATGCGCACATCCGTTGCATTGATTTTCGGCTGTCAAGCATGCAGCTCGCCTGACAATTGAAAACAGCAAGGGGAACTCAAACTCAAGGGGAACTGAGCAGCCGCATAAATTGAAAATTACCTAGCAACACAATACCTCCTGCGAGCGATATTGGCAGCAAGCAAATAACAATCAAAATCACTTTCGACCCCAAAGGCGATTTATTTATAGAAACTGAAACACCATTAGAGGCAGCAGCAGCAGCAGTAGCATCATCATCAAAAATCACAACTATGAGGCCTTAATCGCTGGGGCCAGCCACATCGTCAGATCGTCAGTGGTTTTGATTTATTGCTGTTTTATTTGCGCATATCCTTATTTGCCTTGTGTCGACTTATGTCCCCCATTTCTTGGTCAACTCTGGGCAACTGTCAGCTCCGGCCTAAGGCTATTTTATTGTTCGATAACTTATCAGCGGTCGAGCAAACAAGCAGCCGAGCAAAAGCAAACTCTGTGGCTAAGAATAGCTGATGTTTCTCAGAACTGGCTGTCCTTCAGAATCAGTCTGCGACTGGGTGTGGGTCTGGGTCTGGCTCTCTTGGCCTGGCGATATCATAATTTCACTCGCTTGGCAAAAAGAAGCTGTGTATTTATGTTTTATACTGGCTGCCATCCTGTCACAATGCCGTGCGGCGCATAAATCTAAATTAAATGCCTTTTGAGCAGAAAAAATGAAGTGAGAATTCTGCAGCAAAGAGTGCAGGATAAGCAGATACCATAGAAATTAAGTGAAAAATATTACAAAACAATTACTTAAAACTATTTAAAAGTAAATAAAATTTAATATTCAAATGCAATAATAAAGAGTTTCAATAATTAAATTCTACATACATTATGGACAACTTAACTCCATTCATTGCCTATAGTCTCTCAGATACTCGATAAACCAAAGACAACTACAACCAACGATTAAATTATATCAAAAAGCTTGATATACTCTGTAATTATTTTCATGTTTACAGGGTATACATTAAAAGTATAAACATTCAGCACGTTGTCACTTGATATGACTGTGTGAAAAAGGACTTGGACTTGGGCAAGAGCTCGAACTCGGATTCGGACTCAGATTCAGGCTGGCATTCGTACTTCCATCCGGCTCGGGCCTTGCTTGGCCTGCTTAGTGGCCAGTGCAAATAAATATTAATCATTGTGTAATAATTTTCTGCTGTCAGCTAAATTTAAGCAAAGTATTCATAATCCACAAGTGAAAAACCACTTTTGACAAATCGTTTTGTGCGTCGGTTTTGCCCAACGTATTTATCGCTTATTTATTTACGCCAACTTTTGGCCATCTTTTTCTGTTGCGGAAACACATTTAAAGTTGTTGCCAACTTGATTTGATTTCTTAAATGCTTTACTTGTATTTTATGCCATTTTAGAGATCGCCGTTGCTGTAAATCAGGATTATCTGAGCGCCTTTGAAGTTGGGGCGCCAGTCGCTAAGCAAATGGGATTGAAATAATGAAAATGTAATAAGGAGCGATACCTTCACACGTCGTCTCACAGCGGGACACGGAGAAGGGTCGCAGCCCGACTTCTAACTCGTTGGGTCAAACGGATATGTTGCTTATGCATGGGTCTCGTGCGTGCGTTGAGGTCGAAGGGTCCACAGTTTGGCATTGTCCTTGCTGTCCTTGCTGGTACTGGTGCTGTTAGCAGTCAATGCACGTAGAGCATTGTTTGAATTTCATGGCGACTTTATGAGTTTTGTAATCAAACAAACCCACACTCACACACACTCACACACACTCACACACGAATACACATAGAGCGATGAGTTTGGTGCACATTAATATTGCTGTAGTTGGAAACACACATGTGTAAGGGGGATGGGATGTATTGACAATCGAGGGGATTGTTAATGCTAATGATGATAAAATATGAATGCCTTTAACTTGGCTAACTTGGTGATACGGCCAAATCGTCGGTTTGTCGTCTAGTCACTTCAAGCAGCTGCAGCCGCAGCCACTTAAAATGTCTGCTAAAAATATTTTATTGCTTACTCTTAGGCGCAGACATTACCTGGCTGGCTCAGAGTGGAAGTTGGAAAAAAAGAATGACTGAGTGGAAGAAAAAAATGTGCCACAATGTGATTTATTTGTGTGCAGCACTTAAAACTAGAACCACACACAAAAGACACCACACCCACTTGGACGGGGCGTTGTAGTCTGCCTGTAAATTGAGCGCCGTTGTTGTTTGCTGGCATTTCTGGAGCAGTTCCAGGGGCTTAGTCAGCAGACGTGTTGGCAAACAAAAAGGCTGCCCGTCGAGAAGGTATGGCCAGAAATTAACTAAGCAACAGTGTTGCCCGTAATAATACACAACAGACAACCCTCCATTGAGACTTCCCTTCTCGCTCCTACCCGCAGTGCAAATAGCTAAAAACATTTTGGGTGGTCCTTTGCATGTCAGCAGCATATCGTGT